CCGGCCACGTGACTCCAAAAAAGCCCATTTCATCTTGTTTACATACGGCAACGTAGCTAGTTCCAGCCACCAAGAAAATCAAGGAGCTTGTCCCAGCAGCCTACCTCTAAAGCTTCAAATTGTCGTCAGAATGCTGCTACTTCTGCTGTTGCTGTAATTATCCCTGTCTTGGGTGCTGTGAACAACTGGAGATGCTGACAGAAGCCACATGCAGTTGGCTTCGGGAAGAGGAAATGGGATGCGCGAAGGACGACTGATTGCCCTCAACAGCAGACATCAAGCATATCCAATGTCTTCAGTGTGGGTGGTTGACGTTGAATATGAAGTAGGCCAGGCGATGCGCCATACTACTAGGCGTTCCCGAGTGTCAAAAGTAAGCTACTCACTCAAGCTCAATATATATAAAATGCGGTATTCCGAAGCATGAAAGGTGCCGAGTCAATCATATCTATCGGTATACACAGATTAATTGATATCATTTTCATGTACAATATATCTCTTCTGAGCTCTATTGCTGTCTGCGCATACTTTTAAACACTGAGGTTCTTCAATCAGGGCATCACACTTTCGCCTTTTCTTGACTTACAGTACTTGATATTCTGGCGAGTGCTGCAATGAGAGTGCTCAAGGACCGTTACGCAAATACGGGATTGATATGTGTGACTGACTGCGAGCTTGCATTCGACTACCAGATTCAACCTTGGATTCTATTAGGATTGGCTACTGTTATATGTTGTTGTATGACAAAGTGAGGGAGGCTTTGGAGACTTCAGCAAGCAGCAGTGAATTGAAGTTGAGTTACGCTGAGTGAGCTGCCTAAGGCATAGCATCGTATTCGTTCCTCCTGCCACTTATGGCATTGTCTCACTTACTCCCTCACTCTCTTCCCTCCCTCCTCCATCTTTCTACTGTCAATCCCACCCAATCTCCAACTTCTTTGACCTTCCCCATCGTTTTCTGAGCAGAATCAGATCAGTTATCGACCGCAACGGATGATACTCCTGCACAGCTCGTTATTTCTCAGTCCTGAACCACAGCAGAATGAGACATCGAGCTTTGAGAACAATAGTCAGCGGCAAATCTGCACCACTTGGCTTCACCGTCTTATCTGGGCAGAGATGAACTGATCAGTAATCATCGAGAGATCTCTCATTTCAAAGACCCGCCGCGATGACAATTTTCCACTCATTCCGACGCTTCCTGTCATTCCGTCAATCAAGTCGAAAGAGTGTTGACAACTGCCGGTCTCGAGACGGGGATGCTTCACGGCACTCTGCAGAACCCGAATCCGAACTCGGGATACTCCTTAATATATTTCTTCTTACGAGTCAATTTATGCTGAGGTAGTGGAGCCTATGAAATCCTGTCAGGACCCTCAGGATTATTGAAGATAGCAACTGCCAAGAAGTCCGTTATCAAGCCATCGGCGCAGGCACGACGGTTTCAACTTGCGAATGGTTTGGTGGACGGTGCCGCCGGAACATGCCCAGAAGGACCGTGGGTCTGATGTCTTACCTGAGCAGTCCGCCGACCAATGTCCGCCACAACATTTCTATCCTTATTTCTTGGGATGGGTACTGGACCCGCTCGAGCTTCCAGAAATACGCTAGGGCAGAGTAACCGCTCAGGATTATGGTGGAAACTGCTCATTTAAGCTTGCATTCGGTGAGAAACATCTCCTCAGGATGCCCATAAGCCAAGCTTCTGCTAACAAGCTTGACTTGCTTGACTGAGTCTCTTTCGTGGGTCAATTGCATTGGCAATAGACCTTGAAAAGGCTTGTCTCTCTTGTTGCCAACAAGCATCTCGCAAAGCTCCTTGCAATGAGTCGCATCGAAATTCGCATTGTTGCCTACAGCAAGCCGATAGCCGAGCGGGGCGGGCAGCAAGCCACCAGGCACTAACCCACTCTGCCTGTTGCTCCGTCGGCATTTTTTTCAGGGCGTTATATTGCAACCATCCACCGGCGATCATGAAACCATCCGCCACTCATGGAGGTAAGTTATATTGCATGGCCAAAGGGTCTGGCTCGATGTCTCGGCGCCTTGCCGAATGGGAGACTTCAGGGGTGTCTAAAGCGAATACAGACAAGCTCCAACCGGTGTGAGTGGTCAATCCTCGCGGCTAAGGATAAGCTTGCGTTTCAAGTTCGACAGACGAACCCTTTGGGAATCGGTTGAAAACCACCCCGAGACTCTGAGAACCCTATTTAGAGCCAAATCGGGGTGCTCGACGACCTCATACTAGCCCTATACGATTTAGTCGCTCGGACCCAGTGTGCTCTGGGCCTGCTTGCCAATGTACCTACCTTCATTTCAATTTACCGGAATTCTTCCATGCCAGAAACCGTTCGATATAGCTAATAGCTATAGCTCAGAAACGTGCCCCCTTCTCAGCTTGAGGCAGCGCAACCACGGTACCATAAATACCTTCTTCACCCGCCTGGTTGTCATGATGGATTCTCTTCTTCCTCATCGCACTCCTTTGCTCTCTTTCCTACCCCATCCAGTCTCTCTTTAATCGGTTTCTCCTGTTGATCCAGGTTTTCATTCATTTCATCAAAATGCATTTCATCAAGTCCTCTATCTTGGCTGCCACCATGGGCGCTGCGCTGGTCGCAGCTGCTCCCACCGACATCGAGAAGCGCTCCAGCTGTACCTTCACCGATGCCGCCAAGGCCAAGTCTGGCAAGACCTCTTGCTCGACCATCTACCTCAACAACATCGAGGTTCCCGCTGGTGAAACCCTTGATCTGACCGGCCTCAAGTCGGGCACCACTGTAGGACGCCCCTGTTCCTGAGATGCATGGTGCAAGCTAATCATTTTCCCCCAGGTTATCTTCGAGGGTACTACCACTTTCGGCTACAAGGAGTGGAAGGGTCCCCTGATCTCCATGTCCGGTACCGACATCACTGTCAAGCAGGCCTCTGGCGCCAAGATCAACTGCGATGGTTCCCGCTGGTGGGACGGCAAGGGCAGCAACGGCGGCAAGACCAAGCCCAAGTTCTTCTATGCCCACAAGCTGGATCAGTCCAGCATCACTGGACTCAAGGTCTACAACACCCCCGTCCAGGGCTTCAGCATCCAGGCCGACCACCTGACCCTCACCGATGTGACCATCGACAACTCCTCCGGTACCTCCGAGGGCCACAACACCGATGCCTTCGACATTGGCTCCAGTACCTACATCACCATTGATGGCGCCACGGTCTACAACCAGGACGACTGCTTGGCCATCAACTCCGGAGAGGTATTTGCTCAGCCTGCCGACTATGTTGTTGATTCTAGCATCTAATATTGTCCTCTAGCACATCACTTTCACCAACGGCTACTGCAGCGGTGGCCACGGTCTCTCCATCGGCTCCGTCGGTGGCCGCAGTGACAACACTGTCTCCGACGTGACCATCTCCAACTCCCAAGTCGTCAACTCCCAGAACGGTGTCCGCATCAAGACCGTCTACGATGCCACCGGTACCGTCGAGAACGTCAAGTTCGAGGACATCACCCTCTCCGGCATCACCAAGTACGGTATCGTCGTCGAGCAGGACTACGAGAACGGCTCCCCCACCGGTACCCCCACCAACGGTATCAGCGTCAAGGACATCACCTTCGAGAAGGTCACCGGTACCGTCAAGAGCTCCGCCACTGACATCTACCTCCTTTGCGGTTCCGGCAGCTGCTCTGACTGGACCTGGTCTGGCGTCAGCGTCACCGGCGGCAAGAAGAGCTCCAAGTGCAAGAACGTTCCTTCCGGTGCCTCTTGCTAAGCAGGTGGATGTGTTTCTGCTCGAAGCCTTTCTGGGCCATCAGAGTGCGATCTCGTGGTGGATGGGGTAGCCTGTCAAGGGGATGGGAATAATTCTTTCTAAGCTCATCCCTGAGAGTGAGGCCTTGTGCATATAATCTATAATTCAGTCGAGGGCAACAACAATACAACTTGATTGGCAGCCACTTCTTTTCTTGGCCTTGCATTGTGTTTGTAGCAAGTAATCGTCTGCAGAAATGTAGAAATTGGAGCATCGTCAAGCTTTGTCAGACCGGATTCTCATACTCACGACAGACAACAACTCAGCGAATAGGCTAAGTTCCAAGCCATGTGCCTCACTCCAGCCGTCATTCCCACGACCGGATCCCAAAACCCTGATATCACACTGACATACCACTACCCGCACGTTGAAATCCCCTCCAAACCAAAGAAAAATCGAGCAAAGAAGCCCCCCCTGGCGCTCCATCAGGAAAGCAATCTTCCCATCGCATTCCATCTAAACCCTCCGCATTTCCGAAAACCGCATACCCAACCCATTGCCCCCACACCACCCTGACCCCCCCCTCCCCCAAGCCCAGCGCAGTAACCCCGACCTCAACTCCCCCCCCCCCCTCCCCCCAAACACCGCAATAAAAAGAAAAGAAAAAACATGCCACAAACAAGACTCGACCCTGCAACCTCGCCGCCCCGGAAAACTGAGGTAAGGGAACAAAAGACATGATTGGCAATGTCGAACACCCAGCAGCGTTCGACATTGCCAATCATGCCTCTGAGGGGTGAGGGCTACAGTGGATTAGAACCAGCCCTGCTGGTGTCCGTCTGGACCGTGATTGCTGGGCTTGGGGGTCTGCGCAACGGGGTGGGTTCGGGGGTGGAAGGGTGGGGAGTGCGTGAGGAGGGCGGTTTTTTTGAAGGGCAGGTTGGCTGTCTTTCTCTCTTTTCGGTTTTGGTTTTGTTTGGGGATGGGGGGTGGGGGGTGGTTGGGTTTGCGATGAAGGTTAGGTTTACCTGGTGTGAGATGGGTGGGATGGGATGAGTTTGGTAAATGGGGATTGACTGATATCCTGGCATCCTGGCATTCGGGGTCTGGGGTCTGGGGTTCAGGTGGAAGTAGGACTGCCTACACATTCATAAAATTTCCAGTGATGGAAGACAAGTAATCCTTTACCGTATCTATATTCGATGAAGAAGTCCTTTCATCTATATATATCCAAAAAAGGCCGAGTGGGTTGGAAGAAAAGAGAAGGCTGGATCCAATGCTAGGTATTCATAACATGTAACAAAAATAGCTATTCAAGATTCTAGTTTGACTTTTTTATTTCATTTCCTTGTCGCGTCCGTTTACATACTAGAATAGAGACAAAACGTTAGAATGCATTTTTTGGACGACGTGTTATTTGGGGCACGTTATCTTGGACGAAGCCGAGATGGGGGGAAAACAGACCGGTTGACGGGGCTCAGACCGACAACCCGCATGCCGTTGTGAAGAACCTGGCGGGCAGACTCGTACAACGCCATACGGGCCTTCTTGAGCTCGGGCTCGCTACCGACGACCTTCAAGACATCGTAGCTGGAGCTCAGGACGTGGGTCATGCGGAAGAGGTAGGTGAGGATGGTGGTGGGCTCCAGGGTCTTGGTGGTGTTGAGCAGGACATCGGGCCACTGGGCGAGCTGGCGGGCCAGGTCGATGGCGTGAGGCTCCTTGAGCAGGCTGAGATCGGCATCGCCGAGCTCCTCGACATTGAGGCCGGACTTGCGGACAATGGAGCACAGACGGGCGTGGGCGTACTGGAGGTAAGGACCAGTGTCACCCTCGAAGGAGGTCATGGCATCCAGGTTGAAGTCGTAGCCGTTGATACTGTTGCCAATGAGTAAAACTACACGTCAATTAAGCAAGAAACACATACCGCTTGCCAGTCATGTCCTGGACCATGACGGAGGTAATACCCAGGATGTCGGCGGTCTCCTCGGGGTTCTCGACCTGCTTGTACTTCTCCTCGTTCTTCCTCATGACCTCGTGCATCTTGTCACCCACATCACGGAGGATATCGTCCAAGAACTTGACAGTGCCCTTACGGGTGCTCATACCACGGACCATACCGAAGTTGATGTGCTGGCAGCGGTTGGCCAAGTCCTTGTGACCCATCAGCTCGGTGATCTTGAACAGTTGAGCCAAGTGCAGATCCTGCTGAGCGGCAACAACGTAGATCATCTTGTCGAAGTTGTACTTCTCCGCACGCTCGGTGATGGCGCCGATATCACGGGTCAGGTAGAGGGGCGTGCCGTCCTTGCGGACAATGATAGCCTTGCCGAGCTTCTTGGCACCGTGCTTGGTGAAGTCCACGATGACAGCGCCCTCGGACTTCTCGGAGACACCGGTCTTCTCAAGGGTCTGGTAAGCAGCGGTCATGCTCTCCTGCTTGATCTGAGACTCGCCGGAGTAGACGTCGAACTCGATGTTGAGACGAGCGTAGGTCTGCTCGTACTTCTTGATACTGAGGTCACGGAAGCGGCGCCACAGAGCGAGGGCCTCGGGGTCGCCGTCCTCCATGCTCTTGAAGTAGCGACGGGCACTCTCGTCCTCACTGGCATCAACGAGCTTCTGCAGCTCCTGCTCCAGCTCCGCCACATCCTCGCCCTTCTCCTTCTTGGCCTTGATCTGTTCCTTGAGCTCCTTGATGGGAGCCTCCTGCTGGGAGACGATGTTGTTGATCTTGACGTAGACGTCGAACAGGTGGTTGATGGGGTCCTTGGTCAATTGCTCCTCGTTACCGAACTGCTTGAAACCGTTGGCCAGCAGACCGTACTGCTTACCCCAGTCACCGAGGTAGTTCATCTTGATCACATCCCATCCCATGACGGTGTAGAGGTTGGCCAGGAAACCACCGATGATCGTACTGCGCAGGTGACCCGCGTGGAAAGGCTTCGCAATGTTGGGCGAGGAGAACTCGACGATGATCCTCTTGCGACCCTTGGAAGGATCGGCGGCGTCGCGGAGACCCTGGTTGCCGTTGGTACCATAGGCGGACTTCTGCTTGAGAATGCGGTTGATGACATCGGAGGTGAGGATTTCCGGCTTGAAGAAGAATTGAAGGTGGACTCCGAAGGGGACGGGGGGGAGGACGAGGTCGGATTCGGGGAACTTCTCGGCGAGTTCCTTGCAAAGCTCCTGGGGGTTCTTCTTGATTTGAAGAGCGGCGACCTACAGTGCGTGACACTATGTTAGTCTGTTTGTCGCGAAAGAGCCTTGGCAGCCCAAGAGATATTGGAGCCCAAGGTGAAACGTTTGTGGTATATATCGCATACCGGCAACACCAAGTCACCCTTGTCGAGGGAGTTCGTCCATGACAGGCGAGAGTAGATCTTCTCGGCGTCAATGTCAGTGGCAGCGCTCAGCTTCTCAGCGATGTGCTCTCTGTAGACATCGACGACGTTCAAAGAGGGGTAGCAGTTGGGGAACTTGGAGGTCTCGGTGGTGGACTGGAGAGAGAGGCCCTCAACGGAGGAGACGAGATCGGCAGCGGAGGTAGACATGGCGACAGCTACGTTCTTCTGATGCGTCGCAGTAGCAAAAGAGGAACGCCAGGGAGAGGTTAATTGAAAGGAAGAGAAAGCACAACTAGAAGAAGAGGAGGAGGAAAGGAAGAAGCGACGACTATTGTGTGGACAGTATGACTGGGCGGAAGCAGTCTTGAAAACGGCGTTAGAAAATCGCCGGGCCCCGCTTACCAGAAGGCGACCCATCAATGGAGGGGAAGGAAAGGGAAGGGAAGGTGGGAGGGAGGGAAAAGCACCAACTGGAACACGCCTCAGCCATACAATTAAGAGAGGGGGAACTCTTTTTTTTCTTTTCTTTCGCTCATTGACTGACTCAATGCGGCAGGCAGCCCACCATTCTGCCATGGGCGGTGAATGAATTGATTATTGTCACATGACTGACCATATCCACGTGACTTACCCCAGCCCTTGGGAAAGCCCTACTATCCCTGTCATAGCCCAACTCAGTATAGCCTCTCCTGACGTCACTCCTTCAGCGCAGCGGCCTTCCCATGGTCACCTGTTCGACTGCGAGTTCATCAACACGATTTCACTTGTACTGACCACTCTACCACCTCATGATGCACTGTCACCATCCCAATCGCCTCTCCCACAACACTTCAACCCATATTCCGCGACACCAAAATGGCTAACAGCCGCCACGCGGCCCTGTCCAAGTCCATCCAGCGCGCGATCTTCCGCGACCCAGCCAGCTTCCGCAAGACGGTGCTCGGCCGATTCCTCGCCTTCTTCACCATCCTCTACATCAAACTCATCCGGTACGGCCACGTGCAATTTCAGAAGCTGCGCAACGAGGTCTGGCAGATCGACGAGGAGGAGTACAAGGCTAGCTTCCGCAATGATAGCAAGAAGACCGTGCCCTTGAAGCCGATGGGCGACCTGGGTCTCTCGGGATCGGTATGCGTCCCCCCATCCCCCCCCCTCCTTAAATTCTGGTCTTGGTGTCTCTGCTTTAGATTCGTAAGGCTAACTTTTATGTGTGCTTACGGCAAATAGACCTTCTTCAGCACCTCCAACTCCCGCTTCCTGATCAAAAGCCTGCCGCGACACTTTGAGCATTCCTTCTTCCGCGAGGAGCTGCTCGATCCGTACTACAGGTACATGACGGAGCATCCGGAGTCCCTGCTGGTGTGGATCACCGACTACGTCTACTCGCCGTACTGGACGATCGGGAATCTAGTCGGCACCACCCCCGCCCACCACATCATCATGGAGAACCTACTCTGCGGCCGGGATACGGATCCCGCGGGGGATCGGTGGGAGACCTACGACCTGAAGCCGGTTGACTATTTCTTTCCCGAGCGGGATCTGGTCCCCGACCCGCTGGTCAGCAAGGCCACCTTGAGCAAGATCGCCGATAATTTCGATGACAAGGTCCGCATCAACCAGTCGGCGTATGTCGCCCTCATGCAGACCGTCGAGGCCGACACGCAGTTCCTCGAGGACGCCAACGCGGTGGACTACTCGCTGTATCTGGTCCGCTTCCCGGCCTCCTCGACGCCGGATATCGTCGGGAAGCCCGTTCCGTGGCGGATTGGGCTGGAATCGGCCGATGGGAAGTGGAAGTACCGCGCCGTCATCCTGGATTTCTTCTGGGCCAGGCACAAGCTGCATGCTCAGGCCATGACAGGTGTGATTCAGACCTTCAATGTGATTGGGCGCCAGGGCCCAATGACCATTACAACCACGCCAGATGAGTACAGGAAGAAGTTTCTGACCATGGTGAAAGCCATGATCGAAGTTCAGGAGTAAGCTAGCCAGAGAACCTAATACCACTCATAATGTCTATATCTGTGCACAGAGTATTATGATAATATCATATCGTTTCAAAGACCAAGTGCAACTTGGCCCTGGCAATATCGTTTCGTTTTAGGTAGATTTCGCTTTTGCGCATTCACTCATAACACCGTATATCTGCAACCCCTAGATAACCAATGATACAACCTTTCATGATGTGACGTTCTATCATATCTATAACGTGTGGAGGTACCGGCACTCAGGCACCGGTCCAGCCGACCGCGAGACGAATACAAGACACTGCAACCCAGGCACAAGCCGCTTAGAAGCAGAAGACCTGGTCCTCGAGCTTGCTGACGGGGCGAGCCTTGGTGTAACCAAGAGACTCGGTGGCCTTCTTCATGGCGCTGACCATGGGAGGAGGACCGCAGAGGAGGATCTTGATGTCGCTGGCAGGGGCGGGGAGGCGTTCCTGTAGTCAAGGAAGCATTGTTAGCACGTAAACCGGGTTGGATCGACTGGCGGGTGCAACGAACCTTGATCATGTCGGGAGTCACGAAACCAACACCACCGGTCCAGCCCTCGGGAGGGTTGTTGAGGACGTAGTAAATGCGGAAACGGTCGTCCTCCTTGGCCAGCTGCTCCAGCTCGTCCTTCATGAGGATGTCATCGGGGTTAACATTGGCGAAAATGAGGTCGACCTGGGTGTTGTCGTTGCCACCGTTGCGGGGCCGGTTGCGGACAATAGCCTTGATGATCTGGTACATGGGAGTGATACCGGTGCCTCCAGCGATCATACCAATGTGACGGCACATGTTGGGAGTGTAGACCATGGCACCCTTGGGGCCGCGGACCTTCATGGTCTGACCGACCTGCAGGGTAGTCAAGTACTTGGAGATGTTACCCTGGGGGTAAGCCTTGACCAGGAGATCGAAGTAGCCGGCCTCGTTGTCGGAGGAGATGGGGGTGTAGGAGCGGACAACCTCCTTGGGCTGGCCCTCAATGTTGGCAGCGAGAGAGATGTGCTGACCGATGGGCAGACCCAGGATATCGGTGGGGCGGGGGAGAGCGAAACGGTAGATGGTCACATTGTGGGAGATATCGGTCTTTGCCTTCAGGGTGAAGTGCTGGAACTCAGTGGGGTTGAGCACCTTGCGCTGCTCTGGAAAATGCGATTTCGGGTCAGCAACTTGATCATTTAATTCCAACCTGGTAAGCTTGTGGTGATAGACGTACTGTTGCTGAACAGCTTCCAGCCGAGGAAGACAGCAGCCAACGCGACCGCGAAGGGAACAAGGGCCGAGAAAGAACTGGTCGAGATTAGTTTCTGTCAGTCCCCAATGGCATGCGCATTGTGTAGAAAATGCTTGAAGGCCACAAACCTCATAATGACGGCTTCTCCAGTGGGTTGAAAGTTGAGTGACAACCGAATGGAAGGGGAGGGAGGAGGAGAGATGGGGGAAAGGAAGAAGAGGCGGAGGAGGAAGAAAGTCAGAAATAAAGGTGAGTCGGTAAAGGGACAGCCGGTAAGAGGAGACTCAATGTTTTGTGACGGTAAAAACAGCGGCAATCCCAAAGTCACGGGAGGGGGAATTCCCGATTGGGTAATTCAAGGGGGTCTGGATCGGCTGCTTATCGATAATCGATAAGTTAACTCGATAACCTTGAAGTCTGTTGAATTTGTTTACTGCAAGGACAGTAGATGAAGAGCAGATAGATATACAGAACAAGTACAGTACTCCAACACAAGAGAATAATACCTTTCTATTGAGTTAATCTACACGGAGTACAATACAGTACATTGAAATAATTGAATTTGTCAACTTGTACAAGTTTAAAAATACGTCTACTGAGCTTTTGTGAACAACAACAACACACCACACACCACCCAGGCCAGCGCGGAATCCAGCCCCGTTGGGGATTTGCTTTCCCTCTTCTTCACTTGGGGTAAAGAAACCCGTTCCAGTTCTTACTCGGTAGATCTCCCCCTCACGCCACTTTCAGGCTCCGACCCTGATTTTCCCTATCTTGTTCAACAATTCCGATCTCCATTCTTCTTTCGCCATTCTCCTTTAGTTCCATACTCCATACTCCATAATCATAGATTTCTTCCCCTCTCCCCCTTCTCACCCCTCTCCCCTTCATTTCCAAATTAGACATCCTCTTCCAGCCATGACGATCGACACCAACCCGGCCGAAGAGCCCCCAGCATTCAACCTAACCGAGGTCGATCGTCAGGTCCTCGCGCAGACCGATGAAGAATTTATACTCCACGACTGGGAGGATCTCAAATCCATCATAGGTGTGTGCCTTTTCTTGAATCTGGAATCACATTTTTACTCTCTATCACCATACCTATCAAATCCTACTGTTACCCCTCATTCCTTCCCCCTCTCCCTTAATCACCCCTCCCCCAACAACAATCCCGCCAATTCCGCATTTCCCTCCCCCAGAACAACCACCAACCACTAACCAAACGGCCCTCGGCAAACCCAATAGCGCGCAACGATCTCGGCATCCTCAAGCGGAAACCCTCCGACCTGCACCGCTACCTGTCGTGGTCCGCCTCCACGAAACAAAAATACGGCTCTATCACCAACTACATCTGCCAGGAGCGACTGCACTGGGCGCTGCCGGACACCAGCGCCACCCTAACCACCACTAACACCACTAACAACACCATCAACAAAAAACCAGGACCAACTCCTACCGCAGCGGATAGCGGCCCGGTCTTCCCCTACAACAACCCGACCCCCTTCGCCGACCCAGCCGACTACAAGATCCTGCGGAACGACTGGCCCTACGGCCTGAGCCCGGGGATCACGCACTTGGTGGTCTGGCTCCGCACACCCGTGGCCGTGAACCCGGACGACGGGGATCTGACGCCCGAGTCGCGCGCGCTGATCGAGGGGTTCGTGCTGCGCACGTTCGTGGGCCGGTTGGCGGCGGAGCAGCGCGGCGGCGCGGGGTTATTCCCTGATTCGCCGCGGGACCATGTGCTCTGGTTCAAGAATTGGACCGCCTTGCAGAGTGTGCGCAGTCTCGAGCATATCCATGTCTTGGTGCGGGATGTGCCGGAGACGATCTTGTTGGAGTGGACGGGGGAGGGGCCGCCGCAGCATTGAGATAGATGAATCTTGGTGGTTGCGAAGGGGGGCGCGGGGGCGGTTGGTGGGCGAGATGCATATAGATATATATCCATGCCATCGGTATCTACTGTCAATAAAGCAACCGATTTGTCGCGTTTGGCGCATACCCCAGCTTGAACCACCAATGGGAAATCCTCAATTGAACCTACATAGCATTGGGAATCGTACACCTCCAAACAAAGCATACATAAGCGACAGCTTAGAAAAATACAGCAACCGAAACGAAGGAAGACGACATCATCGAGGAAATAATCATTGCTCCCTCTACATCAAACTATGTAAATAGTGTCACTGCCACTGCCACAATAAGAAAAACCCCTCAAATGCGCCTGCTCCCTTGAAAACAAACCCATTCCGGAAACCATTACCCCACCCTACTGATCATGTCTTTTGCTCTTCCACAAACTTCAACGCCTCTTCCCGCGACACCACGTCGATCGTACTGGCCTTTTGCCGGAAGCTGACGCCGTAGCACTTCTCGGCCACGTGCAACATCTCCGGGCGGAAGGTCGTGCAGATGAACTGGCCGTTGGTGGAGTCCGAGATGGACTTGAGCATCTGCGCGACGGCCGTCCGGTACTGGGCGTCGAGGTTGGCGTCGATCTCGTCGAAGAGATAGAAGGGGGCCGGATCACAGGCCTGGATCGCGAAGACCAGGGCGAGAGCACACAAACCTGTTAGTGGAGAGGGTTAGGCGATTGGCAAAGAAAACGGTAGGAAGGAATACGGAAAGGAAATAGAGGGCCTTACTCTTCTGTCCACCACTGAGCTGCTGGATCCGTTGCTGGTCATCGTGCTTGCTGTTGAAGCTGACGCTGATGCCAACGCCAACGTAGTTTTCCACGCTTTCGCGGTTCTCCTCGTCCTCGGACTCCAGGTCATCGGGCTGGCGGAGAGCGCGGTCCGTCTTGCGCTGGATGATCAGGCGCCCACGGCCAGCCGGGACGAGCTTCTCGAAGACATTGTGAAACTCGCGCGAAACCTGCTTGAAGGTACGCTCGATGGCCTCATCCTTGCGCTGGTCGAGGACGGTGATCAGATCGTCGATGGACTTTTCGGATGCCTCGAGCTCCTCTCTTCGGCTCGTCAGCGTCTCACGCTGCTTGGTGAAGCTGTTGTACTGCTCAAAGGCCTTCTTGTTGACGTGAGAGTACTTCTTGAGGCTTTCGTTGACCTTGTGCAGTTTCTTGACCACCGTGTTCGAATCCGTGTTCTTGTACTTGCTGAACGCTTCATCCGGTAGCACACCCAGGTCGCGGATGTTGGCAGCACATTCAGCCGCCTGTTTTGTCAAAGCCGCCTTCTTCTGCATGCTCTTCTCCATGCGACGCTGGTGTTTCTCGATGGACTTGGCCAGTTCTTCGAGTTCACGGCGGGTCTCGGCGTTCCGCTGCTCGAGCTCGGAAACACGAGCAGTAGCCTGGTCGATCGAGTCATCCACCTGCTGCAGGCGTTGAGCAAGCTTCTCCAGGGCCTTGTGCAGGCGCTTCATCTCCCGCTGTGTCTCCTTCAGGTTGCCTTGGCCATCGTCGTCGGCCATATCCATATCCTGGCCTATGAGCTGGTCCAACCGCGGGTTTAGGTTCTCCCGCAATTCCACCTCAAGAACCGACTTACGAGCCTCGAGCTCACTACGCTGACTGGACAGCTCTTGGTATTGACGTCGCAACTCTTGCGCAGTGTTGTTGAGGGTCTCTAAGCGTGCTTCTTCCTCGTTACTGAGCGCCTTCTGGAACGGTGATTTCAGTTCTGCCTCGAAAGCACTGACTTGATCAGACAAAGCAGCCAGGTTGTTCTCAATGTTGCGGATAGCCCGGCGTTTGGCTTCCAGGTTGTCGGTCTTCTTCTGGAGAAGATCGCGCTTGGCCTTCAGCTCTTGTCGCATCGGCCCGCTGCTGTTCTGCACCTGGTGTCTTTGTTGTTCCAATTTCTGCAGTTCGCCTACGGATTTCGTGATGAGCTGGTCCAGATGCTCCAATTCTTTTCGGATCTCGGTCCCGCGGCTCTTCTTGTTCTCATACTCATCTCTCCACTTTGTCAAGTTCTTCACGGCATCGAGTCTTGACTGCCGCGAATCGTGGAAACCACCAGTAAGGGCACCTCTCTTGTCAGAACGATCCCCCTCCGGCGTAATCGCATTGACTCCGTGGCTGCGGGCATACTGTGAAGCCACCTGCAGGTTCGGGCAGATGATGGTCTTGCCAAAGACGTGGTTGAAAGCTTTCTCGTATTTCGCATCAAACTGGAGTTTCTCAATCATGGGGATCGTGTCGCTTGCTCTGGGCATCTTGATGGGTCTGGTTCGTAGCCTGTTCAAAGGCATGAATGTGACTCGCCCAGCCTTCTCCTGCTGGAGGATTTCCAAGACTTTCGTGGCAGTCTCGTCGGTATCGACAACATGGTGGAAGAGACTTTGACCCGCTGTAACTTCGACGGAGGTCCGATACCGATCACTGACTTCGAAGAGTTCCGCCAGGGTACCGTATACTCCCTCAAGATTGTACTGGCGCTTGATTCGTCTGACGGCCGCAATACCGCGGCTTGTGTTGTGGTCCATCATCTGAGATAGATTGCGTTCCGCGCGCTCCACTTCGTTCGAGGCGTTCGACAGAATCGAGTCCAGCTTGGCTTCTTCTCTCCAAAGCTCCTTTCGCTGGTCCATCAAGCGGTCCCTCTCATCCTTGGCGGATTGAACCAGCTGTTCCACGGACTGCATAGTGTCTCCTCTGCCATCAATCATCTTGCGCAAGCGCTCAGTCTCCGGCTCGAGAAGCGCAATCTCATTCTCAAGCTCCTTGATATCCTCCTGGGTCTGCGCCATGACGTCCTGGACTGAGGAAATGGAAGCATAATTCTCTTTGATCTCTGTCTGGAGCCACTTGTCGCGCTCACCCTTGTTGCGGAAACGGGAGTTGCGACCTTGCTTAGCATACAGCCGTTGGCGTGCCGTCTCTGCTTCGGTAAGCTTGGCCTTGACAGCCTCCTCCTGATCCTTGGCAGCGTTGAACTGGGGTAGAAGCTCCTGCAATTCTGCCTCACGCTCCTGGATCGCCTCCTGCACGGTCTTGAGATCTTCATCGTGACGTGCCTTGAGCGCCAGAGCGGCAGCCTGGTTGTCGGACAGAGACTTGGCCTGCAACTCAACCTGCGCCAGAGCTTTAGAAGCCTCGCGACGCTCGTCTTCCAATTGAGCCTTGTCAACCTTTAGGAATTCGATCTGCTGTTTGCACTCGGCGATCTCCGAGTCAATCTGCGCCATTTCCTTCTCTCCCTGGATGAAGCGATCGCGGTTCATATCAGTGTCCTCAACGCCCGTCTGCCTTTGCTCCTCCAAGCTGTCGAGGAAACTGGCAATCTCCTGCTGCTCACGAGAGTAGATGGTGTATTCCAAGCATCGGCGTTCCTTGTCCTTCTCCTGATAATTCCTTAGCTCGTCCTTCTCCTCCTCCAGTTCCGCCAGACGCTCGTTGATGAAATCCAGAAGCTCGTCGATCTTGGCGCGCTTGTTGTTTGTCTCGTGCATGATCTTCAGCGACTCCGCCCGGCGGGCCTCGTAGACCTGGGTTCCGGCGACTTCCTTGAGCAGATTGAGGCGCTCGGAGTCCTTCATGTTGGTCAAGGCCGTCACGCGACCCTGGGGCACGATGTAGTACGGGTTGGACCGGGAGAAACCGGCCGACTCGAGCAGGTTCATCACATCGGATTTGGTGGCGTTCTTACGGTCGAGGGTGTATTCGTCTTTCTTCAGGCCGATCGTGCGACGAAGGACCACCTCAGGCTTGCCGGTGGGAAATCGGTCGTCCGAGTTGTCGAAGATGATTTCCACGTACGCCGACATCACCGCGGACCCCGATCCTTCCTATTGACTTGTCAGCTTTCGCTCGCGCGCGCGCGACGGCGGGAGGGGAGCGAGTTGCTCCCAAAGCCACGTACATGAAGAAGCGCCTGGCGCTCTTCTCTACCCAGGTGCGTGTAGGCATCACTGAGAACGAAGCGGATGGCGGCGAAGAAGTTACTCTTGCCGGATCCGTTGCGACCCACGATCACATTGTGTTTCGGCGAGAACGGTTCAATGACTGTTTGGTCCTTGTAGCTGTGATGACAAAATCTCCTTTAGCTGGGCCTGTCTGGACTAACAACTAATCATCTGGTCTCTTACCTCTTGAAGCCCTGGATAATAATCTGTTTGACGTACATCTTGACGAAGCGGCGCGCATGAGACACGAGAAACAATGGCAGTCGATTACAACAACCAAGTCATCACGCGTCAACCACAGACAAGAAGATTCACAGGAGCCTGCACCCTAGTTGAAGGTTAATTGGGGCGGCGAGAGAATCTAATCACGACCACCAGGAGTTAAATGACACCTGCGATGAATGGGTGGTGAGCTTTGAGAGCGGAACCACGCGTGACAAACGACCCGATATTGTCGGTGTTCTTCGCAACGCGCGTTGAGAGCCGCGGGGTTTCTGCCGGGCGGTGACCGTGCACTTTTGGGGCCCGCACTCAAGGTACCCGGCCGCCGGCTATTTTTTTCCCAATCTACATTTGTTCAATCATTTTTTTTGGGAGGCACCAATTCGAGGAAATTCTGCCACCAGTGTTGGAGAATTCCTTCTTCTCGACCATGCCGACTTCAAGCACTGATGCGCAAGCATCCGGTCTGGCCGATGGACTGGCCCCCGCTCACACTTACATCCCCAACCAAGGGTATGTGAACGCTGATGGCAGTCTCCCCGCGATGGCGGGGCAAGATCCTGAAGCGCAGAACGGCGGCGGCGAGGGAGATGAGGAGGACGAGTACTACGACGACATTTTCGAAGAGGAGGAAGAAGAAGAAGAAGAAGACGAGGGCCTCAACGAAGAAGACTTCAACTCCTCCAACCTGGCGGATCTCACAAAAGCCTACAACCGGCAACGGAAGGTCAACGAGCTGGCCGCCGATTCCAACGTCCCCAAATGGACCTACCCGAAGACGAACACGCAGAAACCGACCGTCAACACACACGCCTTGGTCGACGACCAGATCAAGTCCCTGACGAAACACGCCGGCAAGATCAAGCTGGACGCCATGCAGTCGGGCATGGCCGCCCGCGGTGACCGCGGTGGCGACCGGGCCGACCGCGCGACCTCCGAACAGGTGCTGGACCCCCGGACGCGGATGATCCTGCTGCAGATGATCAATCGCGAGATCGTCTCGGAGATCCACGGGTGCCTGTCGACCGGTAAAGAGGCCAACGTCTACTACTCGATCTCGTACCCGAACGCCGACGACCTGACCCCCGTGCACCGCGCCATCAAGGTCTACAAGACGAGCATCCTGGTGTTCAAGGACCGTGACAAGTACGTGACGGGCGAGTTCCGCTTCCGCGGCGGCTACAGCAAGAGCAACAACCGGGCGATGGTCAAGCTGTGGGCGGAGAAGGAGATGCGCAACCTGCGCCGCATCCATGCCGCGGGCATCCCCTGCCCGGAGCCCATCCACCTGCGCCTGCACGTCCTGGTGATGGGCTTCCTGGGCAACTCGAAGGGGGTCGCCGCCCCGCGCCTCAAGGACGTCGAGTTCGACATCCCGGACCCGGACGCCAAGTGGCGCGAGATCTACTACGAGCTGCTCGGCTACATGCGCGTCATGTACCAGACCTGCCACCTGGTCCACGCCGATCTGAGCGAGTACAACATGCTCTACCACAAGAACCGCCTCCACATCATCGACGTCAGTCAGTCCGTCGAGCACGACCACCCCCGCAGTCTGGAGTTCCTGCGCATGGACATCAAGAACGTCGGCGACTTCTTCCGCCGCAAGAACGTCGACGTCCTCCCCGAGCGCACCGTCTTCGAGTTCATCATCGCCGAGGACAGCGGCCCCACCGTCCCCACCCCCGTCGAGCCCATGCTCGCCGCCATCAACCACCTGTACGCCACCCGCGCCGAGAAGGGCGATGAGGTCGACACCGCCGTCTTCCGCCAGCAGTACATCCCCCAGACCCTGGAGCAGGTGTACGACTTCGAGCGCGACGCCGAGCAGGTCCGCGCCGGCAAGGGCGCCGACCTAGTGTACCGGGATCTTCTCGCAGGCGGGAAGAAGCCCGCTGACGATGTCGACGAGGACGCCAGCGACGCCGGCTCCGATGTCAGCGGTGGTGGCGTCTCGGTCGAGGGATCCGAGTCCGGGGAAGGTGACGAGGTGGACCCGTTTGCGCCCAAGCCGCCCCGTGGGAAGCGCTTCGAGGACAAGGACGAGAAGCGCGACCACAAGCAGAAGGTCAAGGAGGAGAAGCGGGAGAAGCGCGCCAACAAGATGCCCAAGCACATGAAGAAGCGCTTGGTATCGGGTTCCTCGCGCAAGAAGAAATGATCAACTCGCTTGTCGCTCATTTCCTAAATCCACTCTCTTTATCGTTCTGGGTTGGGAAGGCAACCCGCCCTCTGGCTCTGGGAAAAGGGGGAAAAAGTCATTTTGCTTACGCACGATCTCATGATATATACTTTATGACTCCGGGTTTTGTTCTTGTCTCGTTCTGGGTAGTAATGGTTGGTTGTTGTCTATGTCTATATAGATCACTTGGGAGTAAATAGATACGCATACGTAGAAAGCGTTCGGAAATGTGAATAGGACTTTGGGATTCTGCATGAACACAAATCTGAAGATATCTTAACCATTTACTATCTCCATCCATCTCAAAGTATGAACCAATCAACCTATCAGAGCTCTCTTTGAACATCAAACTAAGCCATATACGGGACTAGGTAAACGAGAACAATGTGCAGGTGCTTACGTCGCAGAGACGACCATGGCTCAGGAGTATGCATCCAGCGAAAAGTTCATGTCCATGTCACACGGACACCTAGCCAGGACATGGCTCTGTGCGTCAGGGCGAGGAAACGCCTATCGGTGATTTCATCATGTAGGTTGACTGGAACATACAGGGGAGGGGGGCAAGACCTGTGTTTCAAACAAATACTCAAGCTCTGTCAATGAGATGTCAACGACTAGCCGACTTGCTTGCTCCTTGCCTGCAAGCGAGCGAGAGCTTGCTCAACGATTAAAGTTGGTAGGTCAGGGATGACTTCATCATCGACGATGGGCTCTTCAGCTGCTGTTGGGCGCTGCTCATCGCTAGACTCGCCGGCAGCACGATCAGGTGGCTCAGATGGTTCTCCATCTCCATTCTTTACATGGCCGCCAAGGATGCGTCGGAACTCGATCCGCATGGGTTCACGGCCAATGCCAGGCCAGATATCCGACGGCAAGTAGTCACCTTGCTCGACTCGGAATGCTTCGCGAGCATTGACGTCCTCCTCATAGAGCTGGTCCAACTTGTGCTTCGCATCACGTAGCACTTTCTCAACACGTTGCCGGACATGTCTTCGCCGCGACACTTCCAGAATGAGGCTGTCGTAGGCCTCCAAGAAACCATCATATAGTGAATTAAGGTCAGAGAGGTCCGAAAGACCGCCGTCAATCCGTTCATGCTCCTCGTTCCATACACGCGTGAAATTGTGTGCCTGCGCAATATAACCGGGTAGACGCGCTGAAGCTAGCGACGAGATGTGACCAAAGACGTCCGTCGTTGCACTGTAGATAGAGAATAGACTATCCCGGTTACAGACTAGAATTTCCAGAACAGATTCCATCTCGCCAATGCGATCCTGGATCTCCATCACAACATCCTCCGCCTCAGCAGCATCCTTCATGAGTACGTTGACCATCTCCAGATATCCAGACTCACTCAGAGGATCTAGAGGGGCATTTAGATGAGCGTTAATTTCTTCCTCAATGTTAGGGCCACCACGGCCGCTGACATTAACACCAGCCGGCATATCACCAGTGATGTTTTGTGCTGCGGCACCTCCGCCTTCGGTATGCTTGACGGCAGTGACGCAGAGATCGAAGTGCCGCACTAATGACTCTAACAGATTGGCCATTTCCTGCGCATGCATTTCCAGCGAATGCAGCATGGATGGCATGGATGACAGGCTAGGTAAGCTAGAACTAGAGGCAGAAGGCGATGAAGAGGAGGAGGAGCGAGAGGAGGCTAATTTCGTAGCCTCGCGGTAGTTGCCCAGGGCTTTCTTGATCGACTGAAGCTCATCGTCAAAAGCATAGTTGGAAGAATCCAGCTCCGCTTGAGCAGCGTTGGTGCGGTCTATTGAAGCCTTCAGCGCCGCATGAAGCTCGTCGACACCACGTTCATCAACAAAATCATGTAAACTTTTTTGGTCCTCTCCATTCGGCCGGAAGGAAGAATGAACGATTGTCTCTCGTAAGAGACCAAGGGTCTTTCTGAGACGGGCATCAGCTGCGTCCAGATCCTTCAGAACGCTGGCAAACTCCGATCGACCTCGGAGAGATATTTCTTCCACCTCGGACCGAACACTATAAAGAAGGCGGAGCTGGTTGTTGAGCCCACGTCGGAGGAAGCCCGTACGTGCAGAGACTATGACACTTTCCTCCAATGCGGAGCGAGCGGCAGTGACTATCTCATTGGCTCGCCAGACATGATTGATAGAGGATAGCGATCGCTTCGCTGCGACGAGATGCGAGATAAGAGTGTCCAATTGCGGAATTGAGCTTTCCTGGTCTTTCGCGGTCTCGCCCGTAGGATGCACATCGTTCGATACGGCCGAGGATTCCATGGCTGACGACATCATGGACCGGGCACGAAATCACGACATCAAAGACAGAATAAAAGAGTAAGGTTGAGCAGAAGCTCGTACGGCGACAAGTGCTCGGCTAATGAATTCCTTCACGTGCTTGGACAGGTCCTTGAATGCGATATCTGAGACAGAGGACTAGTGACCCAATGAGACGTGTTCCCTAGGTAGGATATGTCGCGAGAATGGATAAATTTGGTACACAATCACCTCATAAAGCATATGTTGAGCCTCGCCCCCTGTTTGTTTGTGTCTGTTGACGCCTTATTCCAATATTGAGCGTCAATCCCATGCTAACTATGCATCTGGCGGTGAGTTTGATGAACGCTGACTGGTAGATATGGTCTGACTGTGCGACAGCGGTGTAAGCCTCGATTATAGGTCATAAAAGTCCCCTGTCTCGGAAGTCGATCGAAAGTCACCGAGCAAGGCAGAAGGATGAATCAGGGGGGATGAGGTTAGAGGACTGGGCACTGGGCTGACCGACCTTGGTGAGCTACTGCCCGACTATCCCGCGTCAGGGCAAAACAAGAGTATGTTAACTAAGGTGAATCCAAGTAGTGATGACTAAGGTAGAATCATTGCGCGATTCGACGCAAATGGAAGGTGATCTGGATCGCCAGCGATATTGGGAGTAGAACGGGACGGAGGGACAGGTGATGTCCGGGTGCATCCTGACTTTGCTGTAGTCGGAGTCGAGATGACGGAGATGTCACGCTAGGCAGGCGGAGAAGAGAGGCCT